TACTTGCATCCTCAGGTCATCATAGACAGGTACCGATGCAAGGAGAAAGGAAGATGGTGCTTGCTCAAGACTTATCTTTCATTTTGATGTATGCTTTAGTGTTTATCAAAATTTGACAAAACACATTTGTATAATAATTATATTATTAATGCAATGGATGATGTTGTTGCTTGTTTACTACTTTACATTGTTGTTGATATTATACATGACGTCCTCCGCCCCAGAACGTTTCCGCCGTTCTTGGTTTTGGGGTGTGACAGATTGGTATCAGAGCATTGTTTATAGTGAATTAAGTATATCAACCCATAAAAGATATACTAACTATAAATACATAAGGGATTAAAATATACTCTGACCAAGAGTTTATACTTTAAATAGTAAAATATTTAAGTAAGTATACGTGCTGCATTCATACTAAAATCAGTGTCACTAGGACAGTACAAAAGAATTACGATTGTTGGGCAACATAAGTGGGCTTAGAGACATATGGTCAAAACTGGGAAGATATAGCCTGATCACCTATATTATCCGAGGGTTGACTAGCATGTGCCTAAGTTTAAGTGTGTGGTTGCAACAATGCTAAAATCTTACCAACCCTACCACAATGAGAACAATAGAACATAACATTAAAATTTAAAATACTATAGGAGTATTTGGTGTTACTAGAAGTACTTTATACCTGAGAATTTAAAACGGGATCTTCATTACTAGGTTCATAGTTGCTAAGTGGATACACTAAGGCTATATGTAATTAGGATGTTATAGACTTAGAATCTGTGATAATTTTGCCTTACCCCTATTCTGTGTGAATTTGGAATTAAGGCCACTTATTCGAAGGTCTATCCTGTTTAGATTACACATAGCTGGTATGCACTTCACAAATAGCGATGTAACTAATGAAGATTTTCTAAATAATTATCTAGATAGTTCGTCTAATAATTATTCTTTTACCCTAAATTCTCGCATAGAAAACATAACTGGACTCCATCCCCTCGGCAACCAGTACCTTCCGAATGAAGTCATAACTGGTTGGTTTGGAGAATAACCAGAGAATGATCATCCTTTTCCCCTTGAATGATCACCATGATGAAGACTTTTCGTATGATGCTAACCCCGAAGCAGAGGTTGAAAACCTACCCCGAGCAGCTCCCTTTCCAATTCCTAACCCTAGTCCGGCTTTTCATGGTCCGACCCCCCCCCCTGAGTGAAGGGAATGCTTGGAAACAAGGAGCCAAGGATAAGAACAGTGTATGCTATTTGATGGCGACCGAAGCTTTTACGACTTGAAGCAATGAGGGCTTAGCAGATATAGTCTTGCCAATCTTGGTCCGTAGAGTGACCCGAAATAAGAATCAAGGCAGGACAGCCCTACATCAGATTACAAAAGTAGTCGCCTATTCTAGAATGCATACCCTCCACACCATTCATCTAGAAGATGCACACGAAAGATCAGAGAGAAACCATGAAACCCTGCTGCAAGCACTGGCCGAATCACGAGCCGAAGTCATAGAGCTCCGAGTACGCCAGATGGTGTGCGAAAGACACCTACTTGACATGGAACGTCAATTGGTTGAACTACGAGTTCACCAGAGGGATGACCGTCGCCAGTAGTAGACGCTTTACTTTATTTCCCTTATAAAAAGGAATCATATTTTCCTGTCTATGCCGGATGTGGCATTTTCTATGAAATTATCTTGTTCCGTAAGTACTTTAGCTAGGCCTTTATGCTGTCAGGTACTATCTTCTCCTGATATGATGTGAGACCTTTACAAGGTCATTTTCCAGAATCTTTACATCGTGAATATCAAAGATATTGACAGCCGGCTAACTTCTATGTCATTCTTCATTTAAGTACTCTTATCATTCTTTCATTAGAGTATATCTGAATCATGCTTTAGTCAAGTCATTGGACTATAGTGATTCATCTCCGGAGACATTTCCAAGTCTCTTCTAGGTTGGATCTTTTATTCACCAACTTACGATACCTTGGCTTGAACAACAAACGTCTTGAGACCATTCTACGAACTTACTTCCACCCGTGACTAGGACTGCATCATAGGGATGTAGGTTAAACTTTCGAGAACCTACTTCTACTCTTTCACTACAAGAAAAATACCCTTTAATGACGCGCAAACAATGACACTCGCTGATTTACGATACGCATTTTTGTGTGCCCCTAAAAATAATGTCAAACTTCCAAAATTTGAAGAATAGAGGACACGTATTTTTGCGCGCCCTAAAATTAATGTCCAATAAACAAAAATAATAAACACGGAGGGCACCTATAATAAAAAGGGCGTCCTCTACAAATGTCGCTTTATAATTTTTACTAAACGCGCGCTTCTGTGACTCCTTGATAGGTAAGGGGGAAAACTAAATCCCCAAAATTTTGAACACCCGCCTTCCTCTTCCTCTCTACTCTCTACACCCACCAGATCGACTTCATTCTCTCCCTTCCTTATCTCTGCAAACCCCTTCCTCTCCAATCGACTTTCACTTCCTTCTATGTGCAAACCCTAATCAAACATAACGCATTTGCAATAGTAATATATTCTTTCACAAAATAGACGATTGACCGAAGAATTATTTTCTTTTGATGAATCAGACATCACCAACAACAATAGCTTCCATCACAATTTGTGTTTTCTTTCAGACACCACCGTTACAACATCGCACCACAACACCAGCCCTGAGCCACCACCACACTGCCTTTGCAAAAGCCGAGAACAACCATTACACCCCACAGGTCTTTCAACAAACCCTAAAAAGTCGCAATCAGTTGTCGCTTTACAGATTTAAGAGTCTTGGTTGTCGTGGATATTATCGATCTTTCCTCTTCTACTATCAACTCTCTCAGTTGTCGTTGTTGGTATTGGTGGTGCGACGGCGTGGGTTGCCAGTGGCGGTGACTGGAGGCAATGTGGTCTTCAGGTCTCGCAAATCGACTGCGTCATCGCAATTCACTTTTACCGCTATCAGTTCCGATCAATTTAGTCTACGTAACATCGCTCACCACCATGGTCCAAGCCATCGTTGCTCTCCACCACCGATTGTCTCTACAAGTCAGTTAACGTCTATTATTTTAAATTACGATGCCTTAAAGAAGAAGAACGCTTCCAAAAGTCATCATCCCCGGGGACAGCGGGTCAGTTGTTTTTGTTAAATCTGGGTTTATTTTGGGGTTATGTACTTGATTGGAGTTGAAAATCGTTCTCACTTGAAGCTGATCTCGATTATTATGTTTTTGAAAAGAAAAGTTCGATTTCATGCTTGTTTTGGTGAAATTGGTTATTGATTGTTCCATAGATTTATTATAGACTACTATAGGAGAAACAACTTGATATAAATCACGATCTCGGACAGTAAACTATCTTAAAATTTGTGTTTTGACAATTCCTTTCTGACCTAGCTTATGAACTTCCTAAATATTGGTGTTCAGACTGCGTATGTTGATGCAATCATCTCTTTTCATGTATATCTGTGTGAATGTTACATAGGTTTCATTCCCTGACTTGCTTATTGATTTGTTGTATATCCCACGGTCTCTTCCATCAGGTAAGTTGTTCATGTCAATAATACCTCCGGTAGTTCCCGTGCTTCTGGCTCCGACGACTTTTATCAGGTTTTTGGTCTAACGTCTTCTAATACTTCATTTGAAATTGAAAATCGACATTCCCCTCTTGTAGTAATCCCTTAATACTTCATGAATAAAACTCATTTGCTGTAGTAATGGCCCATTTGGACTTATTCGTGCATCTATTGCCAGTTCTTCAAAAAGAACAAAGTCGTCGTCCTGTCCGGAAGCAATAAACAAATAATAACCTTTCTTCTTCCTTCTTGTTATGTGTTGTTTCTTCTGGATGTCTGGTTAATTCTGATTATTAAGGTTTCCATTTTTTCTCTCAGGTATCTTTATTTGCTCTTATTTTCAACGAATTGCATAGTATGCTTTTATATGTTGGCCTCGTTCTGTATTGTTGGTTTCCCCTCTACCTTCACTACTCCCTGCCATGCCGTAACTAAGAAGAGGATTATCATTTTTCCATTTTGGCTCATGTTGAAATTTGTTCTATGTTGGCTTCGCCAGTTTTAATTTAGACCTGTCGTGTTGTTTGGGTTTGAAGGTCTAAAGACTCGTTTTAGTTACCCACAAGGAATCAAGGTTCTCGTTGTCGGTTTGCAGTTCATACGATCTATGTCTCCAACTTCGTATTTAGCCCTCTTTAATTTTGATGGGTTTCTTTCAATTTTATGGATTTAGTACTCGTTATTCATGGCAGCAAGAATAATTCTCTAAGCATTTCATGGTGTACAGTCCACATGTTTGTAAAAATTTCTCTTACATCTTATTGTTACTCGCCCAAAGAATTGAACTTATCTAGCTTAAAGGTTTAATTTCGGATACTTAGATATGAATTCTTGTTAGATCAAGGGAATTAGTAATCATCATCCACGTTAGATAGATTAATTCCGCATGTTTTTCATGGTGCACACCACCTGTTTGTAAAAATGCCTCTAACAACTTATATATATTAAATGATTGATTTCTGATACACATTCTCAATCCTTTCAGCGCCATCTTTATTGGTTTCAGGTTATGTGAAAATGTTGAAGCCATAGGTTTGAAGAGCTCGTTCTACACAAAACATTCTCAATCATGTTCAATTCCTTCAATAGGTAATGAAGGAGGTCTACTTGGATTCTACTATATGCCCCAATAGCACACCATATCAGCAGAGGCTGATCCAAATGATATCCACATAAGCTAAAGACCCGTGCAAAAAGACCCGATCCTACTATCCCAGACAGATGGCATAACATATCAGAAAAAGAGCGAGTCTCGTGTATAAAAGTAGTGGCCAATACTACTCTGATCAGGTAATGTTTTTAACATTCAGTGCAACCCCTTTTGGGTCAAAGAAATTTAGAGAAAGAAGGGCCAATACTACTCTGATCAGGTAATGTTTTTAACAATTTCTTTTTTCTAATTTTTACTAATATTGTCTCTGTTGGTAACACCCTCTCTTTAGCCTCAATTGAAAAACACATAGCCACCAACTTATCATCCCTAATATAGATTTTTCTTTCATATTTAATAGATTATTTCATACTTGAAGGAGATACAAGGTAGCTAATGTGTATCTTTGAAAAGCTTCTAGAAGTTGATTTCCTTATATTAGTTATTTTCATATTTACTTTTTTGATAAACACTATTTTTTAGCCATACTTAAAATTTTTGAATGAAAGCCCAACGCTTAGCAATTACCCTTTTAATCTTTATCTATCACTGTTTTTTTTTTTTTATTTTGTTCTTTCATCAGGTACCCTTTTAATCTTTATATATTACTGTATGGGTTTTTTTTGTTCTTCAATTGCAAACTGGAAAATTTGATTTGAATTACTCAATAGTTCCAGTTGAGAATCAGGTTCATATGTAATCCATGTTAAAAATTTGATTTCTTATTATAATTCTTTCTTTTATTTAGTTGTATAATCTTCCCTTAATTTTCCGCTTACAACCTTATATTTTGGGGTAGTCGCATACAAACATTTTCCTTTCTTTTTCCATCTCCTTAATTTCGTGTTTCAACCTCCATATATGTGTTTCCTTTATTTTCTGAATTTGGTATCTCAAGACAGGTATGAAACTATATACATTGAGTTGTGGTAGTTTAACAAAAATGTACGAGAAAAAGATGAAGATAAGTTATGCACTCCAACTGCCTGACAATATGTCTGAAAGAAGAGCCAACTCACTGCCATTATTTCTATGTGTCAATATCAGACTACTCAAGCAACTTATGAGTATAGAAAGCATCACAATAAAATCAGATCAGACTACAACTACACAAACACTTACATAGGATGCCACCTGTGCCTCCTACAAAATTTCACATTCCAACCTGACTTCATTTCGTTATTTTTAAAAGGGGGAAAAGGTCACAGACACATAAAAAGCAAAACACTGAAGCAACTTGATTCACATATTGAGAGCATACACTCGCCTTTAGTTTCTGATTTCTCCTTTTGAGCACCTGACCATATTCAAGACTTCAATCTGTTCACGCCCCTATTTAGTTGTTTCACGGCTTCACCATAGCAGTCATGTCTACAATTTTTCACCTGATCAAAGCCCAAAATAGCACAGCTAACGTTGCACAACATACAAAGGCCATGCCCAATTCATATGGACTTCACTTTTGAAAGGGTGGCTGTCCACACTTGCAACCTGTCTACAAAATTAGATGTTCACATGTTTATTTCACCATATCATCAAGAAAACTACACGTTAACAACTTATCTGCCTCTAATACATGTCATCTCTTCCTTCCCCTTTCGCTATACACATATTGAGAGCTACAGAAACTTCTAGTAGAGTACAATGGTTCAAAACATTTTCCTCAATTCTTGATGGTGAAAATGGTCTAGAAGCAGTAAGCACATCCAAAATTGCCAAGTTTAGTGGTCTTTTAACTCTTATGATCTTATGAACATGGACACTTATAAAAACACATTATTTTAGTTGATTAATTATTTCTATTTTCATTTCAGGCTTTTCGCATACCCTTAGGAGTTGTTGGATATTACAGTTGCCAAATTTACCCCTGTGAATATAGATGGTGAATCTGGTGAACCAACGTACATTATATCAGATCGATCAGTTGAAAGTAAGCGAACTTTATATACTTCTTTGATAGTAACTTTTTGTGTAACAAGCTTGTCATCAAGAAGTTGCAACTCTGATAATCAAATTCACGACACAAATGAGAGAAGATAGGAACAACTTTCGATTCTAATTGTTACTACACATTAAGAAAATGCTAATTTCCATGACACACACAAAAACAAAAACAAGTAGTTCCCATCTTCTCTAAGAGGAGTCATCTACTTTTGGAATTTTAGATTAATGAATTTGTATTTTTTGCAAAGTATTAAATTAAGGATAATTTAAATAATTTGATGAGGGATTAATTACACTTACAGGAAGAACTGGAGGGACTTACTTCTAATTACCCTAATCGCTTCAAAGTTTACTATGTATTGAATCAGGTAGGTATTATTCTTAGTAACAAAAAGCCTATGATAAACAAATCAATGATAGTAGGTTGCTGTTTGTTGCATTGAATTAAACCTAATAATTTTTGGGTTTATTATAAAATATAAATTAAAATAAAGGGCCTGGTTTTGTATTTGTGAAGCCACCGGAGGGATAGACAGGTGGCGTTGGGTTTGTATGAAAAAAAATGATCCAAGACCATTTACCTACACCTTCATCTGATATCAAGGTATCTTATTCTAATTCAACTCCTTTCATTCAAACATGTTTTGAAATATTTATTCAACAGTGGTAAAAAAGGCTAAAATACGTATTATATGTTTGTTGTGTGAACAGATTTTATGATGTGGACCACCACCAATGAACAAGGCGATGGCTACTCATCTTGAAGCTTTGGGACATGAATCAGATATGCTATTCTAATGTTAAATTCAAAACCTCCTATTCAGAATTTGAGATTTGAGATTCTATTTGTTGTATTTGGGATTTTGTTAGCCAGAAGTGTGATGTTAGTTATGTGATGAATTCAAACTAATCTTATTTGTAAGTAAGTTTATTTATTGTTTTGGAATTGAGCTTAAAATATTGTAAATTACATTTTACAGGTGTACGCATGTTGCCAGCTGGAAGCGGTATGGGTGTTATGTGTGGGATGACTAGAGGCATCAAGATGGCAAGACCCCCCTCTTCCTCCATCATGAATTCCACCACTGGTTTGTTGACTTCCAGTACACCAACACCAACACCTGCTCAAGGAAACTCCATGTTGAGATCACGTGAGGCTATGCATATGATTCGGGTGAGTTTCAGTTTATGTTATCTTTCACTTTACGTTTTATTATTTTTCACTTTTGAATTTGCATTTGAGTTTCAGTTTGCATTCGAGTTTCAGTTTCCTTCTTTCAACAACCTTCTAAAATCCCTTCAGCCAAATAAAGAACAACAATAAGCTTTACGCCCTTGGTTTATGAAGTGTTTTGGTAGGATGGGATAGTGTAAGGAATTGAATCGTTCATTCCCCACAAACAAGTTCAGCAAGGTAAACTACCAAGTTTAAATGAGTCATTTTCTGTTATCTATTTGTGGTTTTAAACTTAAATTGTTGAGCATTCTTGTTTTTATGAGTAGTTTCATATTATGTTATGTACTTGTTAATCTTGAATCCTATTCTGCAATTATTATATGTGTTAATTAAATGCTTTTGTACATTTGTAGATACCTCCCTGGACCAGATGACATGTCAGTTTTGGACATTGCATACACAATCTACACAAAGTTTGAAGAATGTCGAAGTGTAATGTCCTCAATATATAAGGCATTTACTTCTCATTTGGATCGAAGTTACATTGGAAATCGTATTCAATCATGGATCTTCCAAGTCTAGTTGTAGGTATATGTTTTTCTTAATGAAGAATGTAATCATATGTATGAATATGAAATAAAGTTTGTTATTTAGTATTTAATAATCATGTATAGGGAGAAAACAACATCTATTGATTTGTTTTATCTTTCCATGGATCGATTATTTGTATGATATTAAATTTTATGCAATGGATTGTATTTTTTGTATATAGTATTTTATTTTTTGTTATGAGACATTAAACGCAAATTTAATTTGAAAATTAGTAAATCTATAAATAATATTTTTTTTAACATTTAAAATTACGATACGCAAAAATGAGTGTCATCTTCATTTATGACATGGCCTTTCTTGACAGGGACTTCCTTGATACGCATTGCGTGTCATTAACACGCGCGTCGTAAGGTTACGACGCACGAATGCGTGTTGTCTTACTTTATGACAGGGTCTTCCTTGATACGCATTGCGTGTCGTAAACGCGCATCGTAAATGAGCGTCGTCTATAGACGACGCGCAAAAGTGCGTCGTCTCTCTTTATGACAGGGCCTTCCTTGACGCGCATTTGCGCGTCGTCTGAGCCTTTTACGACGCGCAATGAGCGTCGTAAAAGGCTGTTTTTCTAGTAGTGTTTACATGAACAATTTAAGTACATCAGGGTCAACCAGAATCGCTTACAAATTCATTTTCTTTCCGTGAAACAGAATCATGTCGCCAAAGAAGGATGAGCAACCCATCAACCAAGCACCAACCCTCCAGATTGATGCAGTTACCTTTCAAGCTGCAGTCTCGGCTGCTGTGTCAGCTATTCTAACCCACCTTCACGCTAACGATGCGAATGTTAACGGAGCTGTTAACAACAATGCTAATCCAGGTGACAATCCAGTACCTCGACGAGCAACAAACCACCACGATACCCCAAGTGTCAGGACCAAGAGTAACAAAAGGAAGTTTTGGGCCAAAAAGAAGGACAAATCGCTTCGAGGGGCGAATAAGAAACAACCACCAGTAACGACCTTCACAGCTACTACATCTGCACCTTCTACCACCATTCCTTCTGGTGTTCCGATTGTCCCTGCACTAGCCAAGCAATATGCCGAAAACCTACCAAAATGCTATGAGTGTAGCTTTCATCATCTGGGTAGTTGTCGTCCGTTACACTGTTTTAGGTGCAACAGGAATGGACATACTACCAGTTGCTGTAGGATTCAGATTCAGCACATCACATCAACCACCAATGTCCAAACCTCTCAGATATGCCATCTATGTGGCGTCATGGGACACTTCAAGAGGGACTGTCCAGCAGAGAAGGACAACAACAAACCTGACGGAGTTTGATCGTAGAGTAGAAAAAGACGGCTAAGAACCCTAATATAGTATAGGTTCTCTCCAAATCGTCAGTTTTGTATGATCAAAAACATGTTTAAAACTAGTGCAACTAGAGTCTTACCTTTTGCGAGACCCTATCTGAATAGGGATTCTCGTGCTGCGTATACTTGTCTTTTGTAGTATACCTTATTCGCAGCAATAGTCTGGTAGTAAATCTAAAGTACTGTAACTCTGTTCATGGTTGCACGGTTGTTTTTGTCTGTAAACGTTTTATGTTCAAATCTAATGTCTTTAAGTTTCTGTATGATTCCGATATTATCATACGACTCGATTCAATTTGATCCTCACAAAAATAGCTTCATACGTACACCTCTTTCTTCTAGATCATTTTTCCAGCGAAAACGTCACATCAGAACATCGAAGTACTCATGCCAGGAGTACCTATTAGTTAATTTCTTTCCGAAGAAGTCCCCAAAGTACCACTCGTACAGTACGTCAAGTTTAATCCAGGGATTCATGCGGTTGATCTATCACTGAAAAATGTATGCATAAGAGTGATATATAATCAAGGTTCTATAGGTTTAGAATTGATGATTCCACTTTAAATTCTTTTTCCCGATGGGATGCGAACTTAAAGAAGAACCAGTTATTCGACTACCTTTTCAACCTTAATTATATATGACTCGTATACACGAAAGTGTGATTGTGAAACTAGGTATGAATTCTAATATGAACTTCAAGACGGAGAACTGCCTAAGTACGAGTAATCACATCGTCATGAGAACAGACTTAGAACCCAGTACGACTCCCAAAAACAGATCGCCCTATAGTTTAAACACCCACGGAGATACAAGAACAGTTTGGACAACTTAACGAACTACACATAAATAGAATTAGAAGACTAGGTTTCTCACCCTAGAGAACCTTGGTCATATTCTTCCAGAGATCGACTGATCGCATTGCATGTACCTCGGTTATCGAGGACTCCATCAAGATTTTTCATTAGAAATCGTTATCTCTGCCGAGCGTAGACAAAATGGTTGAGCAAACGCAAAGAAAGAAACTACTTCCAGGAATGGATCCGGGATCCGAATATCACCAGTTCTAGTGTTAGGGAAAGATGTCCGGAAGACTATCTCCTGAACTCGATACGGACACTTTGAGTCCGTAGTGATACCCTTCGGATAGGACCAACACACCCATAGCTTTTATGAGCTAAAACGAGTAGGGTACATCTTTCTTACCTGGATCAGTTCGTCATTTCTCCATAGAACGACTTGCTTATCTACCCTTGTAGTAAGAAGGAACCCATGGGAAAACATTCCCTTCAGAGGAACTTTTAGCGATGTTCTCAAAGCACGAGTTTTGAAATTGAAGAGTCAAATTTCTAAGACCCACTATTAGTAGTGTGGGGAATTTTGAGTACTCTTTCAATTTGTCAAAACCGTTGAGCATTTATCGATATCAGTGACGCCGACAGTCTTTCGCCAAATTCTAGGTCTTACCGACCTACCGGCTTAGTTCATTTAGAACTCCTCGCAAGCTACAGAAAACTCGTACGACTTTGACCCAGCAAGGGGTGGCCTTTGACTGGGAAGTTGCGCAAGAAAAGGAACCTTTGAGATTCCAAATGAGTGAGCAAGTTCTTTAGGATAACTCACTCTGGGAATGGCTTAATACGCTTCGTAAAGCGTGGAAAGCTAAATCCAAGTTAGATAGGACCTCCGAGATTCTTATCAGAATCGGTCCTGTGTCTCGCACAAACTAGACCTACTCTGCGAACTCAGTAACATACTTTCTACACTTCGCTTCTCGATCGTGAAACCATACCTTTCCGTTAGGACTCTTGCAAGTCCACTTGTCGAGATCCTCGCCTTCGTATTAGAACCGTAGTGACCCTCGACCGAGAGATCAAGCGGACGAAGCAACATCGTCGCCAGTTAGTGAAGGTTCGTTGGAATGCCAACCGAGAGCTCGATTTCACTTAAGTGCGCTAGAACCAATCGATTAGGAAGTTTTTCTCCTCACGACTCGATCATTCGTGCATACTTCCTTGCCTAAATTCTAATTTCGGGATGAAATTCCCTTTAACAGGGGGATGATGTGACAACCCGAAATTTCCATTCTGAATAAACCAAATCAAGCCAATAGATGAAGATCAGTTACAGTGAAAATTCAGACTTAGAATATAAGTTTGGCAGTTTCAGGGTTTTACACCAAAAAGGGGTATCAGGAGAGTGGGTGCACTAGGGTTTGGTGCAACACTGTTATTCCAACACTCTAATTTATTAGGGATCATTTCAGGAATAAAAATATTTTCTGCCAAAATATCTCAGGACTATAAATAGATTTCCAAACCAAAATCATTCATTATTCACATTTCCGACTAGAGAAAAGCCATTTTCTCTTTGACTGATGTTCGGGTTTTTATACCAAAACGTGAGTAACTCTTTATAGTATTGTTAGAAAGCTTTATACGTGTCTATAACATGTTTTAGAAGGCTAAAACATGAAATCTAGGAGTTTACACCTCGAGGTGTTCTTGAGCGGTAAACTCCCGAAACGAAGCCAAAACCGATACTTGTGTTATGATAAGGCCTTATATGTTTATGTATGCATGTTAGGGACAAGAAAACAAGCCACAATCCACCCAAGATTGGGAGTTTACGGCCCAGAACCCTCTTAGGCCGTAAACTCCACATTCCAACACTAAATGGTGTTTTGAGGACACTAGGACTTAAAGGCTTGTATCTAGACTATTTCCCTAAGTAGAACAAGGTCTTAAACACATCAAATGACACAACTAAAAGTGAGTTTACGGCCCAAGAGAAGCTTAGGCCGTAAACTCCATTGAAATGGACAAAAGGGTGTCTTCAAGACACCTAAAGCCCTAGACCCCTTCATGGAATTGTTTCCCACAAAAATGAAGAACCAAAGTACATAAAAATCACTCATCAAAGTGAGTTTACGGCCAAGAGAATGCTCTTGGGCCGTAAACTCAAAAGAAAGGCACCAAAGTGTGCCTAGGGTTCTCATTAGCTTTAAACAATTGCCTAGAACATATCCTTCAAATGCAAGAGACTTGAAAACAACAAAAACCCACCATACTTAGAGTTTACGGCCGTAAACTCTAAGGGGAATGGCCTTGAGGCCGTAAACTCCTAATTGGAGTACTTCTAGACCTTAAACCCTTCCAAGGACTTAACCACTAAGTTAGAACAATTCTAGAAAGCATTTGGGACTCCAAAACACACCAAACACACATGTTTGGGAGTTTACGGTTGTAAACTCAAGAGTTTACAACCATAAACTCCATGTGTGATGGTTTATAGAGAGTAAACTCTCACATAGGGTCCTTTGGAAACCCTAAACACAAATACCCTGTCCCACATTAGCTTAGATGCAATCCTTAAGGCTTGAAACACTTATATAAAGTGTTTATTATGTCTAGGATGTCTTAAACATTATCAATTAGTCATTTGTGTCTAATTGAGTGCATATATGTGTGATTATATGTTCATTAGGATCGTAGTGTGTTCACAAGTCCTCGCTTGACACCTAGCCATCCTATACCGTTCAGTTCATTCCAATCACCAACTACAGGTGAGTTCATACCCCTTAACTAATGTTTTAAACTCTTTTTAAATGTTTTATGGGGGGGGGGATACAAGTAGAATCATGCTACTTATTATGTCAATCACATGGGATTAGTAAGTAGGATTATATTACTTATTACATCAATCACATGTGATTAATATACAACATTCAAATGATTTGGCTACTCATTAGCCGTT